CCAAAGCACATGCTATAATTTATATTGTTCGGTGAGGTGTGAGAAAATACACATCATATCACGGTACATCTGGGTCCGGCTAACAACGACACTGTTAAGGCCATTGACCTGGTCATTAAAGATGGCCAGAGATGTCTTTGATTTTCTCTCAAGTCTCCATTTGTAGAAACCTACAAGTGGCCGACAGGCCGATCAAATACAAGTCAAGTTTCTTCTCGCAATTGTTGATGAGTACGATAAAAGTTATTTTGGAAGGTTATCTTTTGTTTAAATTCGATTTATGCATTAATTTAATATATTTTCGGAATGTAAGTATCGTTTTAATGGAGTGACCTTTGCATGATACCCGGCGTCTCCTCAGGGGAACACTTTTGTTCTATATTTATACAACAAAGGATGATCTCTCAGGAATAAATTAGAATATAATTATATATGTCATAATCTAACATTAAATCAATAGCTTTAATCTTAATGTGTATGAAATTATAATTTTATCTTTCATGTACAAACAATATAAAAATCCGCTGTACTGGATCGTGAAATTTTTAATACCATGTTACATGTGTCCGGAAACTATGCCAATGTCAAGTTACTACAATCTTCATTGATTTTTTATTATTTAAAGTGTTTAGCAAATGGAATCAGTTATCGTGACAAATCAACAGAAACTCAAACAAATGTCTTTCTGTGATTTAGCGTGGCCTTGCATGTTTTGCACAAATCGCCCGTTTATTGTTCTACATGCATGTGTATGTGACTAATAACAATCAAAGCAAAAGTAATACAAAGTTTTAGACACTGATTACATCTAAATAGGAATTAAATTACATGATTTATTTGGATCCATGTTAATCTCAGCAAAAAGAAAACAAATGAAACATTTTGCGACGTTGTTAAGGGAAAATACTATAAAAAAAACTTATATGTCTGAATGTTTTTTTTTACTTCACTTTATTCTGATATTTTACACCTCATTTCCGCTCCCCATACACTTGATATTTTAGAAAAATTGGTATAATTTTGAAAATTACAATAATATATACAGTAAGAAGACATAATTAATATTTCTTTATAATAGTTTACACGACACTCGGATGTAGCGATATTTTACACTCGTAACATACGACACCGTCGTGATCTACCCAACTTCCGTTCGTCAAGAAAGTAGTCCGTTACTCGGTAGTATAATAAACGTGAATAAATAGATTTTCCGAATATTTAGGTCATCAACTCATCATTCTATTTACAGCTTTCGGATAAATGTACAACAATAACATTCCATAATAACCCACTGTGTAAATAAAAAAAACCGAAGAGCGCGATTTATTGACGGAAAAGGTTATTTCATTTGAAAATTTTTGCAAGTTCGCTATTCATTGTACCACGGATTAATTAATAATCAAGCACCTTCATACCGTTCGGAATGATCGGCTTTTATTATGACCGACTTAAAGGCTCGAGAAGTTGCTGTCGCCCTTTCACAAAATCTGATTTCATTCCATAAAGGGGCGCCGCGCTTCAGCGCGGACGCCAACAAAGCGCTTTTATATACTCTCTCACCTCCACAGGGCATCAGTAGAAAGTTTGAAGCTTGAAAGAACTTCGTTTAATCAGTGTTCAGATCCTGAACGTTGTTTATTTACATGGAGGGCAGATTGCCACTATATTACGTTGCGGAGTTAAGGTAGCTCGCTACTTTCCGACCGAAATTTGACAATATCTCAGATCTTGATGATTTTTGGTATACATAAATATAGATATGTAAGTGTTACCGTTGTCACTGTTGAAATGATTTTGTCAGGATCACTTTTAAGGCTACTGAAGTTAAATGGTACGGTAATTTACCATAAAACTTAATCAATGCTGGAACATTTCTTGAGCTTCAGGTTCTAAATTGCTGTAAGCTTTTCTTGCCAGTAGCCTGAGGTCATCACCAAAGGCTGCAATAGATTCACCATATAATTTTGTACGTGACTGGAATTTCGACAGCCATCTTGTCTGTTGTCGCACACTACCAAACCTTTGTTCAAGCAATATAATAAGTCCACGATAACTGCGTTTCTGGACTGCAGGAAGACTTGTATAGAAAATACGCGCTTGACCTTTCAGACTAGCAGCTAGAGTTAGAAGCATTTCTTTCTCATTCCATTGTCCTAATTCAGCACAGTCCTCAAAATGTGATATATACTGCTCCCAATCTTCCTCACCAGTAAATGGGTCAGGTTTAATTACTATTGAAGGCCTTTGAGACCTGTTACAACAATGAAATTGTCTGTCATATCTATTATGTCTGTCATACTGTTCATCATCTTGTTGACCTCTTATTTCACGCCTAGGAGAATCATTCACATTCTCATGGTCACCTTGAGCATGATTAAACTCAACCTCAGAATCTGAGTTATCCATTTTATTTTGTTTTTAAATTCAATTACTCAAAAAAATATATCAGTGGCCAAACCTGCCGCGCAGGGAGCTTTCCAGGGCCTTAACCTTATACCATATATATAGGTACCATAAAGAAATTCATAAAGCTTTATTAATTTTGCTTTGGCTTCTTATCAACCCTAACTTAAAGATGCACCATTAATAATAGTAAACAAATAAGTTCAATATCACTGTTTTATAGGTTTACACTTCCAAATGTTTAATGTTCAATAGTTTATAATCTGTTTCACTGTAAGGTTCTTGATATTAGTCAGAACTAAAATCGGCACTTCTGACACCAAAATGTTACCGTTGTCACTGTTGAAATGATTTTGTCAGGATCACTTTTAAGGCTACTGAAGTTAAATGGTACGGTAATTTACCATAAAACTTAATCAATGCTGGAACATTTCTTGAGCTTCAGGTTCTAAATTGCTGTAAGCTTTTCTTGCCAGTAGCCTGAGGTCATCACCAAAGGCTGCAATAGATTCACCATATAATTTTGTACGTGACTGGAATTTCGACAGCCATCTTGTCTGTTGTCGCGCACTACCAAACCTTTGTTCAAGCGATATAATAAGTCCACGATAACTGCGTTTCTGGACTGCAGGAAGACTTGTATAGAAAATACGCGCTTGACCTTTCAGACTAGCAGCTAGAGTTAGAAGCATTTCTTTCTCATTCCATTGTCCTAATTCAGCACAGTCCTCAAAATGCGATATATACTGCTCCCAATCTTCCTCACCAGTGAATGGGTCAGGTTTAATTACAATTGAAGGCCTTTGAGACCTGTTACAACAATGAAATTGTCTGTCATATCTATTATGTCTGTCATACTGTTCATCATCTTGTTGACCTCTTATTTGACGCCTAGGAGAATCATTAACATTCTCATGGTCACCTTGACCAAGATTAAACTCAACCTCAGAATCTGAGTTATCCATTTTATTTTGTTTTTAATTTCAAATACTCAAAAAAATATATCAGTGGCCAAACCTGCCGCGCAGGGAGCTTTCCAGGGCCTTAACCTTAGACCATATATATAGGTACCATAAAAAATTTTCATAAAGCTTTATTAATTTTGCTTTGGCTTCTTATCAACCCTAACTTAAAGATGCACCATTAATAACAGTAAACAAATAAGTTCAATATCACTGTTTTATAGGTTTACACTTTCAAATGTTTAATGTTCAATAGTTTATAATCTGTTTCACTGTAAGGTTCTTGATATTAGTCAGAACTAAAATCGGCACTTCTGACACCAAAATGTTACCGTTGTCACTGTTGAAATGATTTTGTCAGGATCACTTTTAAGGCTACTGAAGTTAAATGGTACGGTAATTTACCATAAAACTTAATCAATGAAAAAGAATATAAACACTTGAAAATACCAAAACGCTCAAGTACAGTTAATCTTATTTATTAAGATCTTCTGTTAAATAAATGCATAAAACAGGATAATTAAATACTGTAAAACAAGTAAATTATTGCCCTTGGTATAGTTATTGTAGATCTAATGAGTTCGTCAATGTAAAGTTGTTAAAGAAGGGGTTATATGAACGTCTTTCGCGTAAATTACAGTAAAAGTCTTCTAGCGGAATATTTATTTAGCGGAATGTTCAAGTTTTGACGGATTTCCGTTGTTTGGCGGATTTTTAGTTAGGGTTGAGCTACTGTTCAAATAATAACCTTGTTAGTCCGTGTTTCACGGTTGGAAAAGCTGCTCAACTGAATTGAGCGTCTGTATTTATAGACTTTGGCGTGTTAACTCCGAAATGAAATTTGCCCGCCGCTAAAACATTCAAAAGTACTCTTATCCAATAATATTCGACAACGGAATTAGTTAACCAATCACAGCGTTACGCTAAACATAGCACAGTCATGGCTCATACGCCGTCAGACAAAATAGATCCGTCAAGGATCCGCTAAAATGTTATTATTCTTTTATAGAATAATAAAAACATAAAATATCGGCAGATTTTTATATAATTGTCACTCTTTTTCCAAAATATGATTATGGTAGTTTCGTTGCATTACAGTAGCCCGGAACGCCGTATTATCGGCGTACTTAAAGTTTCCACTATGTACGCGTTAGTTTTCAGTGCCAGATTAAATAATTTATATTTTGCGTGAAAAAGCAAACACCTTTTCTACAAATTTACCGTAAGAAATTCAGTTTATGCTTAACTGGGTCAAAGATGTTTAGCTTCAATACGCATGACCGCATACACAACTTCCTAAAGGGAGAACACTCTATTATCGACGTATTCAGCATTGATCAACTATGGCAAGCCGTTGTTGTAAAAAATATGACTGAAAACTTGTCTTACCTTATAGTTTGGCTATCCACCGTCAAATAATTATCTTTCTGTACTTTACACACATATTATGGTTGATTTATAAAGTTTCAAGTCAAGAGTATGATTCAACAAGTTCATGGTTTTTAAAATAAAATGTCACCAAACAATGTCAAAGTGTTATTTCAAAACAGTTAACTGGATATTTATAAAGTCAACATGGAACAGGAAACAGTTCAACAGTCTTTAAACAGGTTTTTTTTACAGTTTTAAATGTATTTATTGGCAGTGGGGACATAGAAATTCACTATGACGCCGCACAACCCTGACCTCAGTGCAGAAGGACAAATGTGTCCAGTGATGACACTTATCGCATTGAGCCCACTTCACAATAACTAAACTTGTACACTGCTTAAGAGCTGGAGGTGAAAATTTATGGCACACACAGCAATTAGAAGATTCATCCTCAGATCCAGACTCAGTTTCAGCCTCTGAACTGATAACACAATAAGCAGAAGGACCTGGATGAGGAAGTTGTTTTGAAGAAGATGGTGGAACTGCTTTTGTAGTAGAGGATTTACTTACAGATCTTACAGATTGAGAGGAATTATCTGTGATTGTTGCTTGATTTGCTTTGGGCTTTTTAGCTTGAAGCACTGTGATGTTGTTGGGCTTTGACAAACTACCAGCTAGAAATGGTGGTACAAACTTCTTTCTAGGTTTCCTACTGGGATCAGAGATGCCAGTGATGGTCTTGGACTTGAAGAAAATACTTCTAGGACTAAGTACACCTTCTGGAATGTTTTCTTTGTCAGTTTCTTGGGTATTTATTGGCACATTGGTTTGTCTTGGAGAACACTGAAGACATTGAGGTTGAGGATCAACCGCAGACACATCAGGAACACTTGGATAAATTGAAGAGGGTGCTATCTGGGACTCTTTGATGGTACAATCTGAGAATGGATATATTCCAGTCTTCCGGAAAGACGAAATGAGGTTTTCAGGACACAGAGCTTTCAAGTATGGCTTTGAAGTTAATTTAGACACCTCATACTTGGTGATCTTTTGACCTGGATGTTTCTGTAAATACAGTTGACATTCCCTGTAGTACATAGACTTCAAAGGTCCGAATACCCCAACATCTAAAGGCTGTGTTATGTGACTTGTGTGAGGTGGAAGCACAAACAGAATTATGTTTTTTTCTCTTGCCCAGTCAACAAGAGAGAGTTGTACATGTGATTTGTGTCCATCAAAAAGAACCAGAGTTGGAGTATCAGATGAGACATTTGCATACTTTATAAAGTGCTTTGTAAGATAATTTTGGAAAATTAGAGAATTAGACCAACCACTATCAGACATTTCACCATCTGCACCAGTGGGAGCTCCATTTAAAAATTCACTATTCCACCGTTTTCCTGGAAAAATGTAATAGGGTGGGATCTGGTTCCCAACAGCATTTCCACCACCAATAATTGTCACAGTTGATGATCTTGGGGAAGTAACTGCTTGTGGCTGAGAGGTTGCATCACATACTATATGTGGTGGAGCATGCTCTGTATTAATGCCAGTCTCATCAATGTTATAAATGCGCTCGGGATTCCTTTCGAGTCCATTATCAGAAATAATGGTGCAAAGTTCCTTGAAATATTGATCAAGGACATCCTTGGAGGCACATTTAGCTCGAAGTAAAGAGAGCTTTTGAGGTTTTGCAACTTTCAGATTTTCCCATCTCGTTAGGAAACCATAAAACCAACTGTCACTAAGTGGTTTGTCACTGTTCATTTTCTTGCCGCAAGCCACTGCAAAATCAGCAGCAAGATATTGTACGTTGGCCTTAGTATAGCCATACCCAATGCTGGCCATGTGCTTTATATGGTCTGCCAACCTCTGCTCCTCTTCGGATGAAAATAACTTCAACGGCCCTGGATTTGCCCCAGTCTCAACCCTTCCTGATCGCCTATCCTTGATGGTAGATTCTGGCACCCCATACAGCCTAGAAGCACGATAGGCAGACATACCCTTATTGGTAGCATCATAGGCACGTTGAAGATTTACTGGGTCATACTGGCGCCTCAGTTTCACTGGGTGTGGTGTACTAAAAGAAAGACGCCTCTTAGCAGTCACTGTATGAGAAACCTGAAAGAAGAATAACAGAGTAAAAAAAACTTACCTAAAAATGCAGATCTACAACTTGTTCTGCTCAGAATGGTTAATAATGTAAGTGTGTAATTATTACGTAAACGGCCTTCCATAGAAAAAAAAGTGACGTCATCAGTGTACATTGAGAAGTGATAGCAGACGGATGTTAATTGTTGTGGATAAAGCTTTGAAAAAGGAATAAGTTGAGGAATAAGCATATTTATTATAAGGATTTATAAAATTTTATTAATAATGAAAAATTTTACCTGAATTTGTGACATTTTCTACGAAAATTTAGCGATTTGACGGAGCGTGAAATTCCTTGTTATTGTTTACTCACGTGGGATGGTGGTGGGGGGGGTTTTGGCAAATTTAAAATGAAAATTAAAGGGTATTTTGGGGAATACGCCCAAATAAAAGAGGTGCGCCGAAAAATCCCGAGTTCGAGTAATTTTTCTGGGAATTTTGGCCCGGGAAGGGAAAACTTTTTTTCCGTTTTAAAATCCGTCACCCTAAAAAATGTAAAAAATACACATCTTTGGGTGTTCTAGTGACATTTCTGTATATACTTTTTTTATCTTTTTTAAAAAGGGAGTAATATTTTCGGGTAAAATTTCTACATTTCGGGATCGTTTTTATTGTTTTTTTTTGGTCAGTTGATTATCTACCCCAAATTGTAAAAGGTTTTTTTTCGGCCCCAAATTGTTTCACAGTTTTAAAAGATTTTTTCAATGGTTTCCTTTAACCGAATCTTTAATATTTAACTGTTACTGTTATATATATATTGTAAAAACCACACAAATCAAGGGAAATGAAAGACAAAAATTCACGTAAAGGAAAGGTAAAATCTCGTCACACTGTCAAATTGTTTACATGTCTATCCATAACATAAGCTTTACTTCTGCAGCATTATTTTACAAATAAACAGCATTACTATGACGTCAAAGCGCCCTCTATCGGTGGCGGCGAAATTGCGTTTTTTTTTATCAATAAACCGGTCTGTTCTTATTAATTTTCATCCGATTTCCTTCGTTTTAATTTTATAATGTTCAGTAAATGTATGTCTTTGAAATAATGTCTTTCTTTAACAATTGCTTAATAACGTAAAGTGCCCTATACTCGTCACTTTTGAATACTTTACGCCCCGCCACATCGAAATATATTAATGCACTGGTTCCCTGTTGTCATCAAATCAAACTTAAATCTTTTCTGGTCATTTTAATATAAAATTAACGCATGCTGTATAAATAACATTTATGATACAAGACGGGAAACCAGACAGGTGTCTCACTGACGACCATAGGACAAATGAACCCTTAAGTCGTCAACACATGAAGCAAAATGTCGTCAATGGGGACCTAAAGTCGTCAAATTTTCTGGTGTTTTAAAAACAATCTTGTTAACATGCAATCTGTCTTGAATAAATGACGACAGCTGACTGACTTCTGTGTGTATTTAATTTTATTTATACTCGCCACCGGTTGTCCATATGGGCGAGTCCTCCAGAAGAGTATTAGTCATTTTATATTTTGGAGCATAGTGCAAGAGTCAGATACAGAAAGATGCCCCTATTCCAGAAGCTTCCCCTGGTTCTTTAATGTGCCAAGTGTTTAAGCACTCATAAACGGGACCTCGATTTGAAGTCCGGGAATCGAACCCGCTATGTCGAGATTAAAAGTCTCGCGCTCTAACTGATTGAGCTATGCGGACTGGTAGGACTGACTTCAAACTGGCTCGCGCCTTATCTTGTTAAATCTTGTGTTAAGTCCTGTGGTAACTATTCTGATTTTTTTTATATTTCGATTGGATTACGTCAAGGGGAGATAATTTCCCCAGTTATGTTTTCCTTGTTTATTGAAGATCTAGAACTTTATTTACAAAATAACTTAAATTCTGGTATAGATCTTCAAGACATTTGCCTAATTTTACTTTTGTTTGCTGATGATATGGTATTAATTGATGAAAATCCTCTAGATCTTCAAAATTCATTAAATAAGCTTCATGAATACTGCAATAAATGGGGATTAGAAGTTAATGTAAACAAAACCAAAATCGTAGTTTTTCGTAAGAGAGGTGGTTTAAGAGCAGGAGAAAAATGGTTTTATGGTCAAGATAATATAGAAATTGTAAATGATTTTAATTATCTTGGTGTTACATTGAATTATACAGGAAATTTTAACTTAAATACTCAAACTTTATATGGTAAAAGTTTAAAAGCCCTAAATAATTTAGTGGCAAATTTGAAAAAATATGAAACAAAACCAAAAATAGCCCTACAGTTGTTCGACTCTTTTATTGGTTCTATTTTAATGTATGCAAGTGAAGTATGGGGTTTTCACAAATCAAAAAAGTTAGAAAATATTCATTTGAAATTTTGTAAAACTATTCTTGGTGTTCGAAAATCTACTAGTAACGCAGCTGTGTATGGTGAACTTGGAAGATATCCGTTGTATATAAACAGATATGTTCGAATTGTAAAATTTTGGTTTAAGATAATAAGTTCAAGTAATATTATTATAACTACAATTGTTAATTCGTGTATGTCTGATATAAATATAGGGTATACAAATTGGTTTGCAAATGTACGAAGTCTTTTAGAAAAATACGTTTTTTTTATGTATGGTTAAACCCTTTAAGCGTTAATCAAAATTGTTTTATTGTCGTTTTTAAACAGAGATTAATAGATGAATATTTACAAGAATGGAGAGCTAGTATTAATTGTAATGATGTATTATTTTTATATAAATCAGTAAAGGACAGTTTTGAAATGTCACCTTATTTAGAAAATATTGTATCAAGAAAACTAAGAATAGCTTTGACAAAACTGCGTATTTCAGCTCTTAATCTTAGAATACAGACAGGTAGATATTCACGTGAAAGAGTAGAGCGAAATTTAAGATATTGTTTAATTTGCAATACAAATGAAATTGAGGACGAGTTCCATTTTGTGTTTAAGTGTCCTGCATATGAAAATTTAAGAAAAATATATATTAAGAATTATTATAGAAATAGACCAAGTATGTTTAAGTTTACTCAATTATTAAAAAGTGATAAAAATAATATGTATGCTTGTATATATGTTAATCACGAGAAACTTGTAGTTTAAGTGAAATAAACGTTCTTCTTCTTCTTCTTCTTCTTCTTCTTCTTCTAACAATCATGTGGTTACAATTGTAATTCAGTCATATCGCTCCATGATAAGCAATGGTTAGCATAATATATTTAAAATTTTAGTTTGATTTTTATTAATTCACATTTATATCTTTATACGTTACAAATTATACAAAATATCATATGATCTTAAACATATATATATTTACGCTTTACATAAACAGAACCTAATTCACATGTTATTTCAACATCCTTTATATGCTTTATCAACAATTATTAATAACTTTAAGTTAAGAGGACAGTTTTCAAAAGGTACCGGTATGCCCAAATCTCGTCAACTGGTACTTAAAGTCGTCATTAAATTTAAAGGTTACCTTTAATAGAATAGGTAGATTTTGCTTAGAAGTGAAGCTACAAATAAAAAACCAAAAATATGATCTATTAGACAGAGTTACTCCCCACTGTTTACAAATGGCCACTTGTTTACAATTTTAATTCGCCCATTGTGGCTGCTGAAGACATTGAATCGTCGACAGCTCTTACTTTCTATATCAAACACAAATATTTTTCTCGTCGTATTTTAGGAGTGGTTATTTGCATATACAACGTAGAACAGATCAATGAAATAGAAAATATATTCACCTTTCAAAATAAGCCGCCTTTGGTACTTCCAGATAACGCGAGCGAGAGAAAACGAGAATACAAAAAACTGACGACAAAGGGATCATGACGAGTTTAAGGCACTTTACGTTACTCTGCGATTCTACGTTATTTTAACCCACGTTCTGACGTCCATTTATGATACAAATATTGCGCGATATCGCAATAAAAGTTGTAAAATAACAAAAAATCAACACGGTGAATTTTGCTATAATTTTTTTAACATGTAGTGAAGTCATGAAAGAAAATATTTATGCAATAAAAATATAGGGTCAACGCGTAAGATATTTTGCTATTACTATTTTAATATAAGATAAAGGATGAGTAAAACGTAATGATTTTGGTGACGTCAAATATTTTTCTCAAGGAAATTGTCACGACTTTTCCGATGAATAGTATACTGACTGGAATTAAAATGTGTGAAAACCATCAACAACAATAGTATTTAAACATGTTCCGTAAAATGTTCTTTTAAAAGTCCTGTCAGGTGCCCGCATTTCGATGAACAACTTCAATTATATACATGTACAACAAATCAGGGTATGACTGTCTGCAAAAGTTTGTATCAATCTCTAAATCAAAGCACAGAAGGCGCTGAATTTGTTTGGGTCTCAGAATGTAAGAAAGGTGCAGGTTGTGAGATTATATGTATAGTGCCACCAATGCTTTCCAGCGTTTTAATTGTAGTAAATTGGCTATAAGACTAATTGCAACACTGATATTCAATCCAATGTTTATTTGACTTTAACAATTTGAAAAAAATGAGTTATCTTTACTGGGATTTGAACTCCAGACCTCTCGCTTCCTAAGCGAGCCCGAAAACCCTTCAGCCACGGTGAATTTATATGTGAACGGGCTGAAGAAAACCATATTATTCTAAATTAGGACTTTGTAACGACTTTAACTGTTGTTTTAACACAGATGTAAATAATCCTGGAGCTTACTATAAGCATTTATATTTATAAAGAATCAAAGGGCTGCAAGTTCTGTGGTATTTTTCTGATCTTTGCAATCTAAATCGTACTGTATATCTGTATGCATTTTCCTGTATAGGTTTTTTTTTTATGTATTATAATTCATTTTGCAAGGCACCAGAGTTTTGATACATACGGAATTCTGCATAACTAAAGTTGCATCAAAAAATCATTTATGTTCATTTTTTTACGACAGTCACACTTTATCCTTGCATATCATGGCTACTTCCTTAACAAAAACACTTAAAAAAGAATTTAACAAAAAAAAAGTTTCCTCGACTGGGATTCGAACTCGAGACCTCTCACTCACTAAGCGAGCGCGTTACCACTGTACCACGGAGAAGTTATACACAGACAGTCTGAATAATATCAAGTCATTCTAAACTTAGAACTTCCATTGCATTTCGGGTTTGTAATCCTTATTAATTTCGAGGTATTTTGTTCAGGGTAAACCTGTTGTTAAAAATTGAAGTAAATATTTTAGCGAAAATCCTCTCGCCCAAACAGTCCGACATGTAGAATCTATATATTCCACT